AAATAGACGCTTGTTTAATAACCAGGCAATTTCTGTTTTAAAACCAAATTAGTTTAAATCATTGGAATGCTTGACATATCAATAAAATTAAACTTCTATAAGTATCTTAACTGGTTAAAGAGGTCTTTAAAAATTTGTCTGCTATCAAATTATGGAGTTGTTGTTGATAGTTATTTTTGTAATAGATTATAATAATAAATATTATTCGCAGTTAGAATATAATTACTTATAACTTATTCTAATCATCTTTATTTATATCCTGCAAATATTTGGTCAAATATTTTTCTCATATGAAGCTGTTTAAATTATTATAATCACTTCAATATCTTGGCAACGGTTGTAATGGCACAAACAAATTTTTTTGGAGAGGCTTCTAATTATATTTATGGTGTGCCTCTTTGCTGTGATTATATAAATTAAAAGTAAGACTATTTGTAGATTAATCTGTTTGGATTTTAAATACTGAGACGCCAACAGGAAATTGTAATTGACATAAATCAATTGCCTATATTAAAAAAACAAATCTGACTGAACCGGAAATGTTTGATATATAGAGAGATTTATATCAATTATATATTTATATTTGTTATCTATTTATTACACATTGGATTAAAGGTAACATTTTCTTTTCTTTACAAATGTGTGAGAAACAGATTGTTAGAAGGAGAACTACATATAAGGAAGGAATGAAATATTAGTACATATTCAAGTCAGGTTATGATTTGTTTCAAGGGAGTTTCTTCAGGTTTAATCTTCAGGTGAATGTTTTCCTTGCACAAACTTAAGTGATGAAAATGATCTGATTATTGTGGTTGACTAAATCTGTCAAACTTTATCCCCCCCCCCCCCAAATCTTATAGTGATTTCATTCATCCTTTCTCTTATGTATTGGATTATTTATAGTAGTTTATTTATACAGGAAGAAAATACTTTATTTTTTAGCATAGCTCAGACAGTAAGATTTATTCCAACAACTTTCTTCAAGTTGGTTTTAATACCCCATTTAATTTATCAAATATTTCCTGTTTAATTTCTTCTATAATGGCAGTCAATAAATGGTTTACACATTGTGCCAAAGTGCTTTCAAATCAATAACATATTATTGTCAGATAATTGTCATCCTTTCCATAAATATTTCCCTTCACCTACTATTTCCATTTCAATGACTTTTATGCAGCAATTACCAATTTGTTTCAAAGGAAACTTGGTAAGATGTGTCTATGGGTTACACCAGAGTTCTAACGGTTTAAGTATAAACCAATAAAAAACACACCAAAACAGCTATGAAACAGGAATCAACAGAATTCACCCAGAAGTTGTTTAGTTTAAATCTGTATTAATATATTTAAAGGGACAATAATAGATTTGACTCAAAACTTAAAGCATCTTCGCTTGCTTATAATATCAAGTTTTATATAATCTTAGACTCCCTTAATTGTTAAAAGAATGGGTACTGTTCTGATATGAACAAAGTAAACTATGCAATATCCTTAGAAATAATTGTACCTTTAACTTGAATACTAAATAGAAGGAAAGAGTCATGTTTCATCCTGGTCTTTGCCAAGAAAGTCCCACAGGATTTTGCAGGCTGGTTTCTCTGTGTTTTTGGTGCTTGACAAGGGATGGAGTGATTTAGATGGTACAGAAAACAAGGTCTTGTGTATACCATTGGCACCAGTTAGATGGAAATCAAAATAAGAGGTGCCCACCTTCATTAATTAGCCTGGTAAAGAAGTAAAAGATTAGACCTAATTTCATTCATTCATTCAAGTGAAATCTCTGTGAAATTGTCCATTTCTGTCAAAGCCACTGAAATTCATCAGTTTCCACTAGTCAGCAGTTGAAATTATTTTATGTAGTTAAATAATTTTCAAATTACAAAAAATAATCTGTCATCTCCAGTGTATGAATCTATTTAATTATTCAGATTACAGTTGCACACAAATCATTTAAACAGATTTGTATTGTTTCTGAATTTCTTCAATAGAGTATTGAATGTGTACTTAGTAAGAGATTTTTATTAACCTAGTTAATATGATCATTTGAGTGTAAAATTTCTTTGGCCATCATATTTCTGTGTTTTATCTTAATTGTGTATACTTATTTAGTGGATATGTCAAGTACAGGATGGTGAAAAACAACCTGATTGTCTAGTTTTAAAATTTATTTAATGGTGATAACATCAGCTGAAGATTAAGAGCTTTCTTTCACACACTGGTTTCTCGCTCAATATTTTATGTGAAAGGGATCCTGATAATTCTTAATGAGTCGTATTTGATAAACGAACACAACCCAGTTTATTCTTAAAACTGCCAGAAATGTTTTTCTTGTAAATGGAAGTAGAATTTTATAATCTTGAAATTGTTATATATTAATTACCATGATCTTATTACCATAGTTAATTAAAATGATACCAGTACAGTATTCATATGATATTCTTTACTAGATATCCTTGTCTAGTCATAAACTGCATTCATTTTTAATACATCAACTATAAAGATATGTAGCCTGCAGTTCAATATTCATGTAAAATATTGCATGTGAAAGGTATTATAATATTGATATAGAAGAAGAAGAAACTTTATGACATCAAAAAACTTACCTGGTTATAATGTATATACATTAATAATCTATAAACCAAACAAACAAAATTGAGGTGGACAGAATCGATATTATAAATTGTTGGGAATCGTGATCAATTCATTGAAAGTTAGTTCTTGACATAAAATAAATCCTTAAAGTTATTTTCTTCTTTTTGCATGTTTTATTTTTTAGGATGTAAGAAAATGAATTTCATGCTCTACCTCCTGGCATGTTACAGAAATGATTGTAGCATTTAATTGTCATGGTTTATATTTACATTTTGTCTTTGGTGTATTAAAAAAAGTTCCATCTATTCCTTTAGTAACGTTTAATTTTATAGACAATAAATTATTTTTATGATAGATTGTAATGAAATTATAATGAAAAGAATTCTATTATGAAAACAAAATTAACATTATACTTGTAGATTGACTCTTCGTCTTATTTGTAATTACAAGAACTGACATATAATCACATTTGTTCTTTATTCACTAAAGTCAATAATAATTGTATAGATAATACATCAGTCATTTTCTACATCAAAAACTGTTTATTTATATGAGTAATATGAATAGGGGATATGTTTGACCAAAATACAATAAACTTACAGCTTTACATTTGACTGCATTGCAAAGAGACTAAGTCAGAATTTCATTAACTCTCAAACGTGGTCATGAATTTATTAACTGTTTCTTGGCTATCTATCTCATAGTGTACATTAGAAATAGGCCGAATAACTATTGGTGATCGCTACACTCTATTATTTACCTATTAAAATACGTCACATTACAAAATCTTGATAGATGTCATAAGAAAAAATAAATTTGTTGAAATAAGAAAAGTAAATTTGTCGAAATAAGAAAAGTAAATTTGTCGAAATAAGAAAAATAATTTGTCGAAATAAGAATATTGAATAAATATTTATTGTGGAATGGTACAATGATTGTGAAAGTGGAGGGGGGTACCTTATAAAATTACATTAATGTTAATAAAAAGTACATGCTATCCGGCAGAGAGAAGAATTCACAAAAATATTTGTATAAAAATCAACTGTCAACCTTTGTTCCTTTATTGATAAAGAAAAAAGTTAATCCCTGCTTATTAGCCAAAATTCATTTACAAAGGAATTTTAATATATATATTTGAATATGACTTGATGAGAGAGATGATTTTACAGAAAGATAAGAGTAAAGGGTTGTAATTTAAACTGTTAACTATGTAAAACTATCACCTTAATATCCCTTATTGTTCACAGATTTGAAAGATATGATTTTCATTTTGATAAAAACGGAAAATGGAAATAATATTCATAACTTATGAATAAAAATGTAAAGAACAGTCGGAGCTGGTCCAGCTCTGTGTCACATTTCTTTTTATATCAAAAGAATGACAAATGTGTTTTGCTTTCTTTTAAAATTAGAGTTGATAAATGTGGTAGAAAAAAAAAATGTAGGCAAGCCACCTTATCAAATTATGTATAAGATGAAGAGATATATTTAATAGATGTTTAAAATTGTTGTATGTTAAAATATAAAGAATAGAGAAGTTGATTTGTTTATCAGACTATAGTAATGGTTAAAAGAGTGAGAGATCAACGAGAGATTGTATTCAATTGCCTTACACCTGCAGTGGCCTTCTTTCACACTTGTTATGTACTTTGTGTCATATTAATGAAGGTATTTGACATGATGCAGGTAGACATTAGAGTAGTGTCTTGTCACCTTCACTATATAAACTAGATTAATACAAACCAATACCTTCAAACACCAAAACCTATGTAAAGCTGACCCTAAACCTCTATACTGTATTCTAGTCCTGCTTACTGGTGCGGAACTCCCATTACAACTAGCTATAGGCTGTTAGCCTAACTGTACACCCAGCGCACTCCACTTCACTAACAGCTTCTCAGTTTATCACCAGTCAGTTAGAGAGAAAGGATGTGTTTATAAGATGTGTTGGAATATTACTTTGTGTTGATAGTTTACGATAAATACACGATTTGTGTTAGATTCATATTAAGCTGGATTGTTGTTTACTTATTGTAGATAATTTTGTTATAAACTGGTAAATACTGTTACTGTATTTCTGCAAGTCTTTAAACAGCACTACAACAAGCACTCAAACACACGGACGACTCACAACTTTTGATATTTGAAAGTTTTTTGTGTGTATACGTTAGCTTGAAGATTACTTTAACACATATCAGGTTAACTGTTAGTTAAGTTAGTGTTTAAGTGAATAAAGATTGACAAAGACAAGAGATTTATTGCCTTTCAATTTGTTTTGATTAAGATAAGTGTTTTGTTAAATAATAGACACGCTAATATAACATAGTCAATATTGACACGACTACCAGCGTGAAATAACAACTAATTAAAGGATAATACTTAACAAACTACTGTTAAATTATATTACAGTTTGACCCTGTCTACCTAAATTGATTGGATGCTTTCTTCATCCCATTGTCACAAAAGGTAAGTTTACATTTTAAACTTCTTAAAGACAATTCACACAGTTTTCCCCAAAATTGCTGGTAGAAACATTGAAGATTTTACAATTTAATGCATAGTGGAATGGAGTCATGAAGTTTATTGCTTGGGGTAAACATTAAAAAAAACATTAATTAAATCAAAAGTAACTGAATAAACCTGAATTTAAGTATGTCAACCATGCTTGTATATCATCTACCAGGCCTAATAATAATATTTTATTAATGTATTGTGATGCCTTGTTTAATTAAATTTAACATATCCCATAAACATTAAATTGTAACAGATAATTTACCGTTGAGATGACAGTAATTTCCTACCAAACATTCTGTTTATTGCTTTCAATCTAGTGATCTCTTGATCAAATCTGACAAGGGTTTTATTTTATTTGTTTAAAAAAATTGATAGAAATACACAAGTAAACATTGTTTTTATAATGTATATATTTATAAATAATACATTTAAAGAAGTATTGTATATTTGAAATTAAAGTGTGTATCCAAATATCCACAATGTTTATACCAGAAGCACACACTAAGTTGTAAAGAACCATAAATTTTCAATAAATGTTTAATCTAATTTATCAAGTACACAATTACTCACAAAATTTAGGTTTAATTTAGATATTTGGAGCGATTGGTGATAATTATAATATTGTTCAGAATTATTACCATATTTATTAATGCGTACTTATTAGTAATAAAACTATATTTATAAGTATTTTCATTGTAGGTTTATGTATTTTTTATGGCTTTACAATAGTTTGTTTATACTAAACACTCACTCAGAAAATCATGAGTGATGCTAACAATGTCAATCAAACGGTCTACTTTATTTTTACATCTGATCCCATCTGGAATACATTAGAAAATAATTACCTAATACATTAAGGCAGTGACAATATATACTACACATACAATTTCCTTGCACTTGTCTGTCTTCTTGCTTGATTATTTATTTTATGGTATATCTGTTACATGGGAATATTTCTAACATACATGTAAACCCCACAAACAATATTTAAAGGAAGCATATCATATTTATCAAGTCTGGCTTGAAAAAAAAACTTGAAACGAGTAAAAAACAAAAATTCAAATGTAAAGTTCAAAAGTGAAATAAATTTTGCAAAAATGTCAAAATGTTTTACTCGCAGTATTATGTTAGCATTATGTTTAAGTTGGTTTGGGTGTAAAATATGAAAAGAAATAGCCCACAATGTTATTGAAGATGTGACATAACCATGAACATGTATGAATATGGAATAATACTGGAAATCTTGATCATGTTGTTTTAATTACTCACCCAAGAGTAAAAGTCAATGGTCCCAAACTAAATGTAAAAAAATTAGTTAAAAGTAAACCAATATTTGAATTATGATCATTTTGGTTCTGTTTTATTTCCTACAAATTGTAGTTTAATTTAATTTAAAGAAAATGTCGGAGAACACAGTGGTGATCATTAGAATATCTTCAGGATGTGGCTACATTAATGACTCATTTTGCTGGTATAGTCATTTATTAAAACCTTATTAAACATCGCGTAAATCTATTGAAATATCATTACTCTTCAAAAACAGTTTATTATTTTCAATTTTGAAATTTTCTAAATCAAAATTGAAGAAATTAAGTGATCTAAAATGCAATTTTTGTCTAGACATATATTTTGATTTTTATCTGTAAAGATTTTATCCTCCTGTAATTTTATAAATTAAATGAAAAAAGAAAAGAGTGTGGTTGTAATTACAAATTGGTACTTCTGAGAGGACTTCTAAAATGTTTAGATTTTGTGGACCATTAAAATGATTTCATGTGTATCTGATCTTATCAAGATAATTTATATTTCATTGTGGAAACCTGCATATTAAAAAAACTTCTAACATTTTACAAATTGATATTTTCTTTGGGTGCTTTTGAATGTCATCTGCATGTATTAATAATAGATGCAATGTATTAGAAATATTTCATGTGTATCTGATGTTTATCAGAGCTATAGTATAATACACAATCAGCAAATCAACACCCAGACCATTTCAACATTTCTATTCCATGTTTAAAAATTTAACCAGCTTCAATTGTGCGAGTAAATATACAAAAAGTATTTCATACAAGCTTAATTCTTGTTTTGTACAATTATATTTTTTTATGAGCTGAATGTTAACCTACACCACTGTATTTTGAGCACAACTGCTCAGTCCAGTCCAAATTCTTTATTATACCATCCAAATTTTATTTCATCTCCTTGCAAAGAACAAAAAGAACATTTTAAGTGTTACTTAAGTGTTACTTCCATAAATTTTGTAGTCCAAGAATATAACGGATATAAACTTTAAGGTAGTCAATAGAAATCCTTTTTCAAAATGTTTTCATATTGATTAAAAGCAGTATTTTAGGGTTTGGATCAGAATTGAGATACTCGAGTAAAAATTAAACTCTTTTTGTTAAAAAAGATGGCAAAAACACACATGACTTGTCACAGACTTCACAAGAAACACAATTTAAGCAACACTTTTTTTTTCTGTTCATCGATATTTTGCCGAAAATATGATTTCTTCAAGTAGAATAAAGCTGATTGAGAGATATGGTTTATAACCAGGAGTTATATCAATAATTGATGTTTAATATAGTCCTGTATGGTGGTCTATTCATATAATTTGTTTTTTATATAGATTAATCAATTTTAAATGCAAAATCAAAATAAAATGTAAAAAAATCAAATCAAAATAAATTTATATACACTGATGCCATGAAAACACACCACTTTTATAAATGATGAATGTAATTCTTCTTTAATAGATAGATACATTTTAATCTTACAATTCTGAAAGTGACGGCATCAGGTCATGACAATAACATGTAAAATGATGTTTACACGATCATGCAAACGCATCACAGGTCAATTCTCTCTAACACGAGCAAATGAATTCGACTGAATGGGAATGTTGAAAATCACAATTTTATGCTGCAGACTGCAGACATGGGGTATAACATGTGGCTTTTACAGCACTCATATAGTTCTTTGGAAAATACAACAATACCTGTATTCAAGGGTTGACAGTGCGTTAATTCAAGGGGAGCCACAGTAGCTCAGTGTGTAAGATGTTGGTTCGCTAACCTGAAGATCCTGTGTTCGATCCCTTGGCAGTGGGAATTCCACCATACCAACTGTATAGTGCATGCCTGTCTTCATTAATCAGATCGGAGTATGACGTTAAACCCCGTTCCATTTCATTTCATTAATTCAAGAGATTATGAGTACCCAAGCCGCTGGAAGCAGCATGACAATGAAAGTGGAGAGGAATCCCACAAGAATTGATTCACCAAAAGGTTGCTGCAGGGGTGGACACACATTACTGATTTTCGATTTTTACCCCCTGTGCCTCTCTTTCAATGTAAACGGCTATGGCCGTTGTTGGTTTTCTTGTGTGATTAAATGCCAAAAATAACAATACAACTGCATGTCTCACAAACACTTCCAGTCAAAACAGTTGTGTGTTTTCATTGCAGCAACAAAGTAAAGTTCAGTTGAAATCAAATTTATAAAATGTAGGGAAAAAAAATTGTTGCCAACAGCTATCCTATGCACCTTCATATATCTAGTACTTTCCTTGTCGATACAAAAAAAAATAATTTTTTTTACGATATTCATATGATATTCATGTACAGGTATTTGTATATGTATAAAAAATATGTGATATGATTGGTGTTAGATAATTAATAGTAACTGACAACTGAAGTAACAAGTATGAAAAAAGCCAGGTCTATTTAACACATTTCGAGTGGCCGGTTATACCAAAGAAAACATAAAAATCCATGTAGGATATTAAAAGATTAATTTATTAATTCCATCTCGGCCACCCTCACACCAGCCCACAGAAAAAAAAGAATTATACCAACCGACTAATTTTTGTTTGGCCAAGTAAGGTAAACACAGGTAATATTTTTTTGGGCCTTATTGACCATGTAATAAGTTATTTGAATCTTCGAATCAGTTTGTCCACATAGGCCTCTTCTAATAAACTTTCTGGGTTTGTGATGTGTTTATCTATGGTCAGTTGATATTTTGTTATGACACAGTAGTTCTATTTAGTTGTAATATGATATGGTTGTTGGAGTCACCCTTAATTTAAACATGATTTGTATGTACTAAAGTATGAATAAAAGAAAACATTTGTTAATGTTGATTGTATTTTAACCCCAATTTGAAATATTTGATTGAAGTTTTATTTTCATGGTATGCCAATACATTCATTTTATACAAGAATTAGTTTTAGGTGACCATTACATAAAAAGTAGAAAAGTGCCATATTTCCAGAAATCATTCCGGGAGTTGTGATCAGAGAGTACAAGGTTATCGTTTCTAATGAAGGACAGGGATATTACACATGTTGCTTTGTTTAATGACCAGAGTTCTATTATTCCAGTGGTCATCATCTGGTGTTGTTCTAACTTGTGGCTGGCGGATGGTCAGTATTAATAGCTTGACCAACTGATGAAGTTGTAATCTAGAACAAAGTGCAACCTACATTCTTGTGTGCCATCCTACTGAGATTAAAGATCCGGTGGGTCGTCAGTTTTAGCTTTATGTTATAGCTTGTCATGCTTGGTTGTATATGTAAACTATGGCTATAGTATTGGTTTACTGGTGGGTTATTTAGATATCTCTCTGCTCCTATAAACACTATTTTCTTCTATCTTCCACGATTATTTACATAATTCTTCATCAGAACTGTGCACTACCTTCACGTTTATTTTCAGTAGCCTGGGATTGAACTTCAATTTATTGAATAAAAAGCTTAAAATGTGGTGATTTAATTTTAAGACCAATCCATTCCTAATCTCACAGTCTGGAAGAAATGGGGGTTTAACCCTTCACTACATTTGATCATCATGTCGTTCTTTTAAACTCAATGATTGCCTGATCACGCAACCTCTGTAGGTGATTCACAAACCACCTTTAGCCTAATTCTTTTGTTGAACTTGCACAGA